TGAAACGTAAACAGAAACATACTTCGTAATAGCAGTCAATCTTAGGGGTTTTCTCAAACGTAGTAAAGCTTGTATTAATTACTCAACAAAATCACAAGGTTTCGTATTTTCTAAACTGACATTCGCCTAAAAAGAGTTGCAGCAATTTTCTTCGTCGCACCGAAGAAGCACATATATTAACGACTCGGGGAAGTAGAACTCTAGAATGGCGCTAAATTGAACTAATCGACCTGTATTGCTTGATCTCCCCTATATCATAATCAACTAAAACTCTATATTTCTGAATAAACCTGTTAATCTTACTGCATTTTGTTTTCGAACATTACGTCTGTTAATTTGCTGTGATGTATATGGGGTCATAAGGGGATGTCGATTAGGATAAATTTTATCTCCTAGAAGAACATATTCCCCTGGAAATGGAAGTATGACATGTCGCTGCCAATGTCTAGCATAAGATTAAACTGCTGAACATCATTCAGATGACCGGGAAATCCTGACGTCACCATCTGAATCCACTATAACTTGCGAATTGATAGCGTGGAAGTGACGGTATCAAGAATAGAATTGTTCTTGTGGCTCATGCATTGGTCGCAATATTTCGTGTGATGCTCCATCTATTGCAACAACTGTGTTGAGACTAAGTTATATCAAGTGATATGAAGATACAGTATGTTTTCATGTTAATTTACATACTGATATCAGAAATGATTCAATATAATACAAATCATATTTCTATTAACTCCTCAACATATCAGGTCACAAAACAATGTCCTTTGTGTGTCAATTCTTTACACCCCACCAAGATTCGTCTGTCTGGTTTCCGTATACAGCAAAAATGCATGCAAAAATCTTGAAAAACTACGTTTTACTGTTTAAGGTGCATTGCAACGTCGACGGAAAGTTTCTTTTTCAAAGGAAGAAACCTTATTAATTCTAAGGGCATATGAGCTCACCCATGTAGCTGGACCAACGTTATAACTGATAACAAGGCTGTCAAATAACCATCAGTTGCAGTACAGAACGGATACATTAAAACAATTGAAAGACAGAGTATCAGATAAGTTCGGTCGACTTCTTCACAGCAATATTGATACCATTGAGGATGTTGATATAAGGTAAGATTTCATCAATGCTCAGAAGAATAAAACCGCATGCTAGTATCTAAGCTAAGAAATATTTTCTGTAATGAAGATCAATTAACAAAATTTTAAAATTAAGGATTTTACAAGACAACATTTACGTTAAAGCGGACATGTGTTGACCGATGATTTATATAAGCGGCCGTGTAATGAGTTTATATATAATACTCTTTTTGAAGCGAAACTTAATTGAAAAAAAAAACAAACAACAACTGCACATTGTCTTGTCGACAAAATCGTGCTGTTGATGATAGACACTACTTTTGTATAAAGTGTAATATTTTCATTATTAAACTTGATGTATATATGTACAGGACACATGTGCAAGGTATACGGGACTTGTTTCTCCACCAACCGAAGTTAAGACCAGGCAATAGAGCTATCAAAGGGAGCTCCTACTTCAACAGATCAGTGAGTCCGACGATGATGATGTTGGATAGAGGAGCTCCACAGCCTGCGGGCGGTCAACATCAGCAAAACTTGCAGGTTGACAACAATTACGAGGAGGGGGCAGGTCCAGGCCGATGTAAACACCCAGTGCCGGCTGTTTCAAATGTTGCAGCCGGTCAACGTAATCGGCCGGTTCATCGCAGGAGGAATAGGCGCTCCCTTGCAGATCAAATTAGAGAAAATCAGGCTCTCTACAGGAGATTCCTGACAAAAAAGTTCAAAAAATACTCCGTGAACTTGGCGTAAGCAGTGACAGCAGTGATGACAATTACGTTTAGTTCCACGTACTCACACATAACTTTAAAAATGGTCATATGGTTATCTTTGTTAAAAAATTAACATGACAATAAAGTATATGAAATAAGAAACTTGTTTTGTTTTTAAGTCTATATAAACATTTTGGTTATATTATATCTATTATTATGTTGGTCGTTTATAGAAATAATATAGCAAACATAATCCTGTACAAAAAACGCTGTATTTCAGTTTAAGCGTATTGATCTTTATAATTATCTTATTTTCCACATATATGTTTTGAGAAAATCCCCAATTTTATTCAGTATTACGAAGTCCGTTTACGAAGTCCGTTTAAGATAGAAAGGTCTAATATAAGTTTATCTTCAGAAATATCCTTCCATTTTAAGTAACTTATAAAATGTGTCCTACTTTATTGCAAAAGTAACTATCATTAATATTTCATGAAAATAAGCATTATTTATTTAAATAATGACAAACATATCATTTCTGATGCAAATTATAACATTTATTACAAAACGGGTTGAAAAGTTTATTACAATTTGAAATTTGCCACAAAACCCGTTTTGTAATAAGGTTGCAAATTGTAATAAACTATCAATAGAAGACAAAATTCAATTTTTCCAACTAATATAAATTCATCTTTAGAAGTATCATTCAATTTTAAGTAACTTATACATGAGACCTTCTTTATTGCAAAAGTAACTATCATTAATATTTCATAAAAATAAGCATCATTTCATTTCATAAATTTTCCAAACAACCCGTTTTGTAATATAGTTGCAAATTGTAATAAACTATCATTTGAAGTCAAAAGTCAATTTTTCCCACTAATATAAGTTTATCTTTAGAAATATCCTTCAATTTTAAGTAACTTATAAAGGTGACTTATTTTATTGCAAAAGTTGCCATCTTTTAATTTTCTTGAAAATAAGCATCATTTCATTAAATAATGACACACATATCATTCTGATGCAAATTGTAAATTTTATTACAAATCGGGTTGAAAAGTTTATTACAATTTGAAATTTTACACACAACCCGTTTTGTAATAAGGTTGCAAATTGTAATAAACTATCAAGAGAAGTCAAAAGTCATTTTTTACCACTGATATAAGTTCATCTTCAGAAAGATCATTCAATTTTAAGTAACTTATAAAGGTGACCTACTTTATTTCAAAAGTTACCATCACTAATAGAATAAGCATCATTCATGAAATAATAACAAAAATATCATTTCTTAGCAAAATTGTAACATTTCTTACAAAACGGGTTGAAAAGTTTATTACAATTTGAAAGTTTCCACACAACCTGTTTTGTAATAAAGTTGCAAATTGTAGTAAACTATCAATTGAAGACAAAAGTCAATTTTCCCACTAAGGAGGCTTGTTGGTAAACTTTGCGTGCAGACCTCCGTGGCTTTTGCTCTTGTTGAGAAGATTTCTTATTTTTCTTTCGCTGACTCCCTCATAGGTTCCCTTCATTCTTTAAGCAACTGATCTAGCCCCTCCCCCTTTCATTTCCCTTCTATTTTTATGTACCATAATTGGTAGATCGTTCTGTATAACAACATTTTTCTGATTGAAAAAAAAGACGTCTTTACAGTGTATCTTGCGCTTTGAAAGTTTGTTCTTATTCCTCTAATAATGTATGTATCACATAAAAAATGTGATATTTTTTATGACATAGATACTTCACGGCATCTTCACGGCGTCCTCTAGGCGATCATGGCGATGCTACGGAGCTTCCACGGCGTTTTAATTGGCGATTGCGCTACTACTGTGTTCTTTGCGCTTCAGCTGAGCTTTTACGGCGCTCACATGGCGCTCTCGCGACGCTCACACTGTGCCGAAATCGTAAAGCTCGGTATAAACGGCGTGCAAACGCATTATAAGCGCGGTAAAGACGCCGCACGATCTCTGTACAAGCGCTGTGGAAAACAACAGCTTTCATTCGGCGATCTTTTGCGCTTTCACGGCGCTCCTGTTGCGTTGTAGGATATGCATCTGAGTTTCTTACTGCGATCCCACTGCGCTGTTCAAAATGCGCGCCGTCAGTCGGCGTTTTATGCGATGCCACTACGATGCTACGGCGATGCTGCAGCGATTTTTGCGATCTGACTGGGCTCACCTCGGCGTTCTGAATTTTCTTTGAATGCCATGAGAACGTCCTTCTAGTTTGACAGGGGTTCAAATGAGAAATTATAATTAGTGCCTCGAGTAGAGTTTTAATATAACAAATACATTTGAATCTTTAGTTGAAAAGCTCGTTTGTATTGCAAAACAAGTTGTGTGAAAATTGAAACAAATTATGTCAACAGAACAAGTTTTGCAATACATTATAGATCTGTATTTGCACGTATTTGCATGAAACATTTCATTTTAATCAGATTTTGAACCACCCTCTTGTAAACATACGTTTAACGATAGGAATTTTAAAGGGTATTTTGGGTTTTAATTTAGAGCTGTTTTTTATGTAAATATCAACACATTCAATACAATTAAGCACATTTTGGCTTAGATACAAGTATCAAAGTGCCTCTAGTAGAGTCTTAATATAAAAAGATACATATTCCCTATCGCCATTTTAGAAATGTAATCCTAGCCGAAGAAAGTCTTCGCAGAACTACGAAAAAAGTGATATTTTATATATTTCTCCATCATCTGTCTATCTGTCAATCAATCTGTCAGTCTGCTTATTCGTCAGTCGAACTACTCATAAAACTAATGGTGCAATGAGCCTATTTTAAAGTTTTGTCCGGATCACCCCCTCGTATACTACCGATGCGATTTGAGTGAATCTTTACAGATTTGATCGGTACCACAAATACTTGCGCATATGTAACTCGCGTGTCGGTTGAATATTTTTTGGCTGAGTTATGACCCTTGAATAAGAAAAGCGCTGCTAGCTGTTAATGATTATTGTTTCTCCTGCTACAGAATATGATTATTGTAATAAATTTATCATCGTTTTTTTTGTGATTGTCAATAAAACTTATTTTGAATCATTCCCCGTATGTTTTGTCATGCCATTCGTCCCATTAAATATTCTATTCCCATAGCCACAAGGTGTTTATTATTCATTAAATAATATATGGATGCTTGCTCTTTCTTTTCTATAAATGACTGGTGACAACCAGAGTACTGGTGCTGTCGTATATATCGTATCGCTTTAACAAGGACTGTTTCGAAACTTGAAATATAATTGCATTTTTTATTTGTGTACGGATTATTTTCTTTTAATGCCATGTTGCTTATTTTGGTAATTATCCACTCTTTTGGAACATCTCAAGGCTTAGGAAATGAATTTGCGTCATCTTTTTTCGAGATAGAGAAAGTGTTTCAGTTTCCCAAAAATGACCCTTCACTTTCTTTAATACAAGCAAAGTCATTGCTTTCATGCAGTTTTCATTGTCTGAAATTAGAATCGCCATCGTTTTACTATTTTGAAAATAATGCAACATGTTTCTGTTATTCCGGTCATGGCAATAACACTGATGAGTATGGGCAGACTGACAATGAAATTATCTATGGGAAAAGAACAGAGACGGTGTCAACAACGTATACTCAAGTAAGAATTATTGGTTTGTTTATGATTTATGTTTGTTTAAATCTATATAATATTCATTTCAACTATATTCTTACAATGGACAAATAAAGGGCACTGAGTGAGTCAGTCCATGCGACCACTTGCTGAGGGTACCTGTTTGTGGTCGATTGGTCGACCTTGAAAACTTAGCGGAGTGAACTTGTCGGCCCAAAACGCATGTCTGAAGCACCTATCCGAAACACCTGAACGGGTTTGTCCTTATAGCAATGGTCAGTAAACCTCGCACGTCCGCTTAATAAGATCCTTTATTAAGACAGCAACACATTTATTAATTATATAATGTACATTCTGGTCTCATGGACCCTCTTGCATTAATTAGATTGATACATGACATAACATAAAGCTATGTGTATTTGTAACAAAACCTATCCAGAGTATGACAAAATATACAAATACCTATGACGTTCTGCAAATAACTTGCAAAAATGTTATGAATAGTTAATTAGGAATTTTCTGTACATTATATAACTTGATAAAAAATATATTATGCTCATCGTTGAGGAAAATACTTTTATTTATGTTATTGCACAAATTCATTAAAATCTGTTAGGTTCTTACCAAATATGTCGTATTTAAAAAAAAACACAAACAACTTATAAAATTATATATCGGAGTCTGCGTTCCTTATTACAGGTCAAGTTAATTGGGTTTTTCTTTAAAAAGAACTGCCCTTTTAAATGACACTATATTCAAATTGTGGTGACCTATAGTGTGTCTCAAACACAATAAACATGTATCTACTTCCTCTTATGTCAAAACTTGTTTATTTTATATTTACAAAAAGACCGTGTAGCAATTATCAGTATTTTTAAATATCAAATTTAAGCGTCCTATATTTTTAACCTCATATGAATTAATAATATGTTAACATGTCTTAAACTCTTCATATGTCTTTGTTTTATTTTGAAAAATCTGCAAACTCGTCTGGAGACATGTACTGATTGTAAAAAAAATGAAGATTTTTAGCTTTTTACTTCATTTTAAAGATATTTAATGGCGGGTGTAAATAATTATAAATTTCAAATTTTATGAAGTTTAAGATTTATTAGCATGAATTTGTTTTTACATTTTCTGGTACAATTTGTAAAAAAATATTTTTGAAATTTATTTTAAAGTTATCTTACTGTAATGTTTTTTTCCGCCAAAACATTCTAACATCGGCGAAATCGTCATTTCCGGAACTTCATTTATTTCTTTGAATTTAAAGATGATTGGCCGAGATAAATCTGCTTTTACTTGTAGTTTTTATTTCAGTAACACTGACCCTTATTATTATATTCGTACTCAAAATTTCTGTTTTAACTCATTTTTACCATCGTGTATAACGTTTGAAACAAAGTTTATTTAGCAGTATGTTTAATTATGAATGGGTGTTTTTTTCCCCTAAAATGTAATTACTTATTTAAATAAGCAATTGAAGTTTCATAAAATTGAAATTTTAATAGAAAGTTTTGTCGATACTAAAATACTGGTCGTAAACACCAAAACACATTTAAATTTCGGAACAAAGCGTAAGCCTGTTACTTGAAAATACTAAAAAAACAATTAGAATTGACAAACAATTAACGCCTTGGTGTTATAAAAATATTTAATCTATATTCAAATATATATGAAAATATCAAGTGAAGACCAACTATATTACTCAGTATATGACGATATTTTAAAAGTGGTTTAAATAATTTATGGGGGAAAGATAATTTAAAAGAACTGATACATATGATAAAAAAGTAAATGATATAATTTAAAAATCTGAGTAACTTCAGAAGATAGTTTGTTTCCGGAATTCATTAAGATTAGTTAAGATTAGTTAAACATAAGACGCGTACACCATTTCAGAAAGATTTTTTACATTAGTTTCCTTAATTAAGAATGGCCAGATGTTTAAACGACCAATATCAATTATGCAAATATTCAGTTCTTCGCTGTCAATTTTACAGGACGTCAGACTTATTTAAGAAGAACTTCAGCCGAAATATTTGCAAAATCGTACAATACCATTTTTACGGTGTCGCAAAAACGGTACAAGTATGTGATAAAAGGACATTATGCAATGACTCTTTGAACAAACCCTTTATAATGACCCATTATGTCTTCATGTAAATTACCCTTCAAACCTTGGAAGCCTTTAACTCCTGACGCCGGGCGATTGTTACCGTCCAAATATCTAGTAACAATATAAAACATCTCTGGTTCAAAAATGGCAAGTAAAATAAAAATGATTACAAGTCTCACAACCATTTAAAACAATCTACTATAAACAATTAAATTGTAGTTTTGTTTTATTCATAATTGACAATTTATGCCTGTAATAGGCCAACTTGTTAAACGAAATATTAAATGAAGCTTTACTGAGCCCCAAATTTCTAAAACGATTTCGGTATTAAATATTCATCAACAAAGAATTAAGAAATCTGGTAAGAACTTAACTTAAAATCGATATTGAGTGCGATTCCTTGATCAGCTTAAGCTAAAAGAGATAATGAGATAGTTGTTTTTGTTTTTTTTTGTATGTGTGTGTTTTTATTTAAAGCAGCACGCCTCCAGATTCATGTTAATTTTTATGAAAATTTTGGAAATGTAATTAAACGTTATATATTGTGAGGTGAACAAATAATTAGAGGATATTTTTTTCGTTTGAGTGAGACATGTAATATATTTTCACTCAACATGATAAAATGCCACATATTTTCACGAGCCGGCACAGCGAGTGAAAATATCTGGCATTTGATCAAGTTGAGTCAAAATATATACCATATTTCATGAACATTTTTTTTTAATTTCATTATCAAAGAAATATAGTTACGAATCCTCTTGCATGCTACGCAACTGCAATTGTACAGCGCGCAGTAAAATATTATTTATAGGTGCGTCTTGTTTTGCCTGTATTTGCACGCGCTGTTTGGCGCTACATTGTGACGTCACATAAACAACTGTTTAAACGTCTGTACATTAATGACTTAATTAAAGATATTTGTGTTCGGACTTTATTTCATAATAGTTAGACTTTTTTTCTCTTATTCTAGATAGTTTTCAAAATAAAATTCAACAAAAAGTTGTTTTTTATTTATCAGATTTTTAAAACAATATGGCGAAAGAAGACCCTTGAAATATATATGAGTTTTTACAAAATTATGAAATATATTTGACTGATTTAGCACCATATTTCATGGATAGAATTAAATAAAATAATCAAAGAAAATTACCAAAAAGTCGTCAACATATGCAAAATGAGCCCTCAAGTAATATTAAGTAACGCAGTAGATATATGTTAATAAAGTTCTGCAAATCAGTTTTAAACCGCACATAACATGAAAAATATACTTTGGATCTTACATCTTTTTACTTTTCATAAAATTTAAGTACAATTTTCTCAAGATTTTCTTGAACTATTTTTTCTCAACTGGAGGAGTGGAGCTTTAAGTCATGTTGCCCACTAAAATAATTATTCTTGTAGGAAAAAATGATAAGGCACTTTTTTCCAAACAAGTTATTAGTATAAAACTTTATCAAGTGGTATTAATGCCTTAAAATATTCAGTTTTGCCATGTCAAATAAATCAAGTGGAGTCCTTTAGTATATTAATCCATTTCAGAAGACCTTAAAATGCTTTTTTCCGCAAACGAACAACACTTTTTACATGTAGTTATTGGCTGTTTAAACAATAGTACAACTGTATTTACTAATTAATTATATACCCGTTCCGCTTTTGTGGCTCCATCTGAACGGTATTGCATGGCCGTACATATAGTTTGACGTGACGTCATTACCGTTAAACAACATCGCGTTAAGACGCGCTAAATGATAGCGCTACATTATAATTCCGTCTATAGAAACATTTTTATTTAATTTCAAGCTTATCAGTTTTTATTTTGGGTATGTGATGAATCGAATATTTTATTCCTGTAGCTTTTTTTCTAAATTACACTCATTCAATATCCCCTACTTAGTCTTTTTGATATGCATTTATATCATACACCCGTCTCGATATTAAATTCGTGTAAGTCATTACTGAATTAATTGAACTCGTTGAATAAAATAATATTACGCCCACCAGAGGCTCGCATAATATAATTTTATTCAACTCGTGCAATAAATTCAGTATTGAACTTACACTCATTCAATATCCTCTATATATTTAAACTTATATGTTATCAATCCGGTTAAAAGGGGTTTCTCTGTAATAATTTATAGGAAGAATATTTACATTTTTTAATGATACACTTAATTGCTTTACAGGTAGGCAGTTTAAAGACAAAAAGAATACACAAGCAACCAGAGCCAGTTGACTGCCTTGAACTTTTTCAACAAGGCTTTACTGAGGACGGTGTTTATGTGATTAAACCAACCGGAAGTTCTGCTACTGATGTGTGGTGTGATATGACCGGTGGTGGATGGACGGTTATACAACGCCGGCAAGACGGAACGGAAGATTTCTACAGAAATTGGGAAGATTATAAAAATGGATTTGGAAACAGAGTTGGCGAGTATTGGCTCGGGCTTGAAAATATTCATCATTTGACAAAAAGCAGCAGTTCTCTTCATGTATACATGGAAACATTCCAAAAAGACAACATGGATCCGTTTTCTGCTTTTGCTGAATATTCCACCTTCAGAATTAATGACGAGAGTGATAAATACAGGTTGACGGTTGGGGGATATCACGGCTCGTGTGGTGATTCCATGTCGCATCATAATAATTGCCGATTCTCGACCAAAGACAGTGACAATGACGAGTGGTATGCGAACTGTGTTGAATACTATGGTGGAGCTTGGTGGTACAGAGATTGTCATACCGTGAATCTAAATGGACTTTATCTGAACGGGGCTAATACCGCACATGGTCGTGGTATTAACTGGCGTTGGTGCTGGAGCTTAGATTACTCTCTCAAGAATACTGTAATGAAAATTAGAAGAGATATGTAATTTTTCTCTGATATTGAATGTGTAAGCTGCTTATATATTCCGTAATAACACGGACATTTTAATAAACAGTTGATTGAACCATAATGTTTTATATCACATATTCTGTATTTATCTATTTTATATCACAGTCAATTTATATAAATATAATAGTGTCATCACAATTTTGGGAAACAGACATCCCTCGTGAGTAATGTCGTCGCCCTATTCTAAAAATGGTGTATCTACAATTTCCTCTTTTTTGGGAAAAAGGGGTTAAAGGTTCAATACGTTGTAACTTTTATTTAATAACTCCTAAAAGTGTGGACTTCTGGATTGGTATTATTTATGTCAACATGTGATGAAAGCACTTTGTTATATACCTTTATAATTTGCAGTAATTGTAAAAATTAAAAAAAAAATTTGGAGATAGACCAAAAATGTTTATTTTTAGATAAAAAAATTACTCTAAAAATGAGTTTGCGGAGATATGACAAAGAAAGGCTAAAATTGTAAATACTTTTTGAGTTAGCATTTTTTAAGAGTAATAATTTTACTATAGAATATTAGTAGATTTTTACATTCTAAAGAACATTTTCAGCCAGAGTGGTTGAACCGCTGACACTGAATCACTTTATCTTCGTAAATTACTATGTCAAAGTGTAAATTCATTTACGTGATCTCCACCTTGGGCCTTTCTCGATAATAACAATATAAAATTGTGCCATAAAAAAAGAAAAACAAACATTTCACAAAATTTGAATCAATGAACTTGCTAGAAACAAACTGACATATTTTGAACCATTATGAAAAATGAAATGATTGTAACCATCTCTAATATTGTGATTAAATGATACAGATATAAATTATATTACCAATAATTCTTTTTAATTCACACAATTAAAGTCAATACCACATGCATTCAAAGTCTCAAGTATTGTTTGTGGTTTAATATCAACGTATGAAAAAATATCTGCTCAAGTCCTTAACAATCTTTCAAGATTGCAAAAACGTCGTTTTCAAGATTTTACATCCAGTGAATTTTGCGATCTCCCATATCGGTGTTTGTCGCACAACGTAGATACTGGACATTCCATGAACAGGCTAAATCAAACCGAGCCGGCAACATTTTAGATCATGCCGTATTGTGCTTTAAGAATTCTGCTATTATCTAATAAATATAATCATTGATGACCCGGAGAACACTGAAACTCGCATGCAAACTTAAAATCTATGTTTTGACAAGACAGTGGTATTCCGATCCCATTGGAATGTTAAATATCTATTTATTTTGTGAATATTTTAAGACTTGAAACAATGATTTATCGGAAACTGTTGGCAAGTCAAAACTTCCCCACAGACTTGATGTTGTTGATATAAAATTCCATAGTTTTGTGGAAGTTCTGCTAACTGCACTCACAAGTTCTAAGAGACAACATTTCTGTAAGGACAACGTCTGATAATGTAAGTAAATCTGACCTGAAATGGACAAAATATTATCATTAACAATTAAACAACAACAATGTTCGATACTCCAACTAGTTCCAAATAGTTATTACGAATATCCGAATATAGTAATCCGAAACAATGTGATTGTGAAACTTCGAGAAATATATATAAAAGGATGATTATACTATGAAACAAATACTAATACAAAATATAAATTCACTTATAAAACTAATAAAAGCTAAAATATATTACTTACATGCTTCAGAAATCATTTTTTAACTGTTACTTTCCTAGTTAGCTGGCTGATTTAGATACGATTGTTGTTGTTATCACTGGAGTTAGAACAATTTTATTGTCAGGCCCCTTCAGGTCACATGACATATATTTTTCAACTTGATTGGCTGGCACGAAAGATTAGCCTAAAAGTGTTAAATGTGTTGGAGATACGACGAAAAAAGGCTAACAGCAAAGCTTTCCATTGGACATAGAACAAAATACAGACGCTATATCTACAAAAGTATGACGTAAATCTTCACAAGTTTTGTTTTGGAGATAGAACAAACTAATACCAAAATAAATGTGCAGTTATCTCATTTTTGGTAAAAATGGAGTTAGGACAGTTAGAATCAAGCGACGATGTAATCACAAATTATGTCAGATCTTCTTGTTAGAACAATATACTGGGTATTAACTTAAATCAAATCAGCAATGTTAAACTTCATAGATTTGAATGAACGTATTATTTATATAAAAATTTGATCAATTATTATATTGAAAAAAATATTTTACTGTCTATTTAGATGTAGCTTGCTTTCAAATATTGTCTTTTTACAGTTCGTTTAACAGGCTTGATAACCATCCTCACATAGAGATATGTAAGTTGCTGTTCGACAGTATTATATATACTGTTTGCTGGCCAACTACCATGTTTTCTTATATCATCACGCATAAGTCGGACAAGTATATAAATAACACATGGGTTTGTGGGTAACAGTAAAAATAAAGGTTAAGGTTTAGGTTATGTCTCATAGAATAATAGTCTATGTCTGCATAAGTTAAACGAAACTTAAATCGTGATTGTCCCGCGTAGTTCACAGCAACATTTTAGTAATAGAAATCTAAAATCAAGTTAATGACGATTTATTTAAACATTTTGGATTCTTTGATATAGTTTTGGACATGCTAAAATAAAAGTTGATTTGAAAGTCGTTTAAATTTTCGATGCCAATGAGTAGCTTTTTAGTACTACGCGGATGGAATTCTCTGGAATTTGTAAATAGTTTACTTCTTTGTAAAGTATAATAAGAAATGGTCGACATCCTCTATTAAAGAACCACATCCGCAAGCTTAATTAATAGTGTGATGATTTGTTAAAAGGTCAGAATTCAGATTGCTACAGATATTCATAATACGTAAATGCGTAACTACCTTCGATATAAACTGGCGGGACAACAGGGGCTTTATATAATGATTTTTAAGCTTATGTTTGAATATAGATAAAGTTTCTGAATCTCTGAATATATAAGTTGGTAATTCGTTCCAAAGTTTTGTTTAGAGGATGGAATGAGAGAATTATCATAAATTTATGTTTTCTTTTTGCTATTGAAGCATTATTTACATTACTTCGCAGCGAATATAATTGTGAGGAAACTTTTGCGACAATTGGTGAGAATAATTGTGATAAGTATATCCCATTCGGTAAAATGTGTTCCTTTCTATATCAAAATAAGCTTTTTGAATTTTTCTCCTGTTGTCTATGATAGCCATCCTTTTAGTTTAAAGATATTGAATAGTTCTTCTCAACTTTCTTTTTCATATTGTGTACTATCATCCCATACCTATGACACATATTCGATCCTTGGACAAATATAAGAAACAAGTATACATGTAATATAATGTAAGAATTGAGAATGTCTCGCATAGGTACGACACTTTTTTTTGCTAATTGTCATCTCGTAATAGAATTGCTATACCTAATATCTGTTACAAGCAATACATTTAAGTAAAGAAGTTTATAATGTACGTCGTTTTGTTTGTTTGTTTGTTCGGTTGGTTGATTGGTTGGTTGACTGGCTGACTTGTTGTTGGTTGGTTGAATTGTGCATTGGTGTGAGTGCATGCATGTGGTTTTGATTGTTGTTGTTTTTGTTGTTGTTTTTTTCCCTTCATAGAACGCATTTTCTATACTTGCTGTACATTCAGTCATGCATTTACTATGTTATGTGATTTAAAAGTCTTTTGTTAAAACTTTTCAGAAAAAGAATTCTCACTTTATACAATATATATTTCTTTGAACAAATATTTGCATAACATGTATCAAATTTCTGATAATAAAACCTTTCACTGAATATGAAATTAATTGTCTCACTATTCAAAGCACATGCCGGTCCTTTGGATAGAAAATGATCGTACGTGTACATCATTTCGTTTATTTTTAAGTCAAAAGCTGTAATATATATCAAAACGATAAAACTCTAAAAGATAAATAATTTGTTTACTTTCTTATGTATTTTTTCATAACTTTGATACATACATGCATAACTATGTAATTTGTCATAATCCAGATATGTAAAAAAATATGATAAACAAGATCATCAAGGAAAGGCAGCGTTCAATGAACGCAGCCCCCACCCGACCCAGTAACAAGAGCCAGTGGCAAGGAGCCCAAGATGATTCCAAACAAAAACAGGAAAGGGAATAAGGCACGGGCAGGCAAACCACTACCTAAGAATAAATAATTAGAAACTGATAAGGAACTAAAAGAAAACAAGTAAATGATTGAATATAAGGTCCATAAAGTCAAAAGGCACATGGGAAAGGGACATGCAACCTTAGGGACGGGGGGATAAATATAAACAAGAGGCAAAGGGGAGATTACCGTAGACGAGAAAATAACAACAGACACCGAAACAGTATAAAACAACATAGACAAATATCAAATAAAGTCGCACAGTTGGTGATTTGCAGGCCTTAAAACATAATACTTGAGTTTTGAAAACTATAAAAAAGAAAATAGAAAAAATAGTGTTTGATTGAGATTGTAGCATACAACCTTTAATTTGAAAGTAAATAGCTTAGCTCTTTGTCACAGAGGCTAGCCAGGCATGTGTTCTGTTAGTAACTTTAAGTCATAAATAAACCATGTGTACTGTTATGCTGTACTTTCAAATCCGTAACATTTACTTCGGAATCCGATAATTACCGACAAAAGTTCATTGAATACTCAAATGTCTTAGGTTAACAAATACAAAGTTGGGTGGAGCAGCATTGATAATGGTACATAATTATATTGTACTGGAAGTTCTTTCAATTTAATCTTACAATGGTATTTAATTTAAAATATATAATTATATAACGTTTGATTATCAATAATTAGATGGCGCGTCCGTGGCCGAGTGGTTAAGGTGGTTGACCGCTATGGGTTCGAATCCCGACAGGGACTTTGGATTCTTTCGCCATATGACCTATATTATGTTGGTGTGACGTAATACCCAATTAAACAAAAAACTATGATTAGATGCGTATTTGGTAACTGAATGTGTCTGCAATTGTAATTAAGTCTGTAAGAAGGCACCTTAAAATAACCATTATATGTCAGTTTTGTAATCGCTTATTGCACAGTGTGCTGTATAGGTCAATTCAAAATCGTACATTAAAGCGATTTGAAATAAGTGACAACAATAAATTCACAATTGGATGTAACAGTTATCTAAAAGTGTCTTCTCACAGACGTAGAAACGTACGAAAGTCATCAAAGCCGAAC